TCCCCATGTCCTCTCATGTTGTCGAGCATTTCCTTCACTTCCGCTTGTTTTGCCAAGGGTACTCTCCTCGGTGGCTGTCGAATTGGCCGGGCTTCTCCCGTGTCTATGCGGTGATATACCCTGTTTGTCCTTCCATAATTTTCGTTGTCTTGTGCGAAGATATCCGCGAACTCGGACACGAGATCCTCTAACTCTTGAAATTCTCTGGTGTTTAGATGTGGCTTGGCCGCTGTGGTCACGTCCGCTACTTTCGGTGTTAAACCTGGTGCTGGGGGCTGCCCCATCTCGGGCAAAGCCACGAGTGTTACTGGCTCACAGTGCGACAGAGGAGATCCTCTCCTGAGGATTTGGTCCTTGTTCGTAACATTCATGACCCTAACTGGTACTTCTTGACAGTCCTGAACAAGGGTCATGGCTACGTAGATTCCTTCAGGCTGGTGGGCCTGGGGGTTCGGTTCTACTAGACCATTTTCTACTCCCAGAAGATTTTCCATTCTAGCCATCACTATTCCCTCGCTCCGTGCGGGTATCACATGATCCTTTGCCACTAGTAAGCTAGACGGACAGGGTCCTACCCCAGGACTCCATAACGATACCTCTTCTTCCGCCAGACGCAGAGTTTGGCGCCCATTATCCACTGAGGCATCATAGGCGCGCAGTATGTCCAGTCCCAGGATGAGCTCATCGGTGATATTCGCGACGAAAACCCACATCGTAATAGGTTGGCGCCCTAGAGTAAGGGTCAACAGAACTTCTTTCAGTATGGGCAGGGATCCTCCAGACACGGTCTGTAGCGTGAAATCTGGATTTGGCTGTCTTTCAGGCCATCCGGCGGCGATATCCGGTCTTACTACGGTGACGTTTGCTCCAGTGTCCACTGTCACCTGACACGGCTTATCACCGACGCATCCCTGGGTGACCAGACTGGTGTTGGCTTTCTCCGTCATGTCGGTGAGTGCGTAGTGTGGGGGCCTTAACGCATATGCCGGCGTTCGCCCACCTCCGCCGGCCGTTGCTCGTTTCCCGACGGTTGGTCGTTTCTCCAGCTTGTTTCCCTGTTGTTTCTGGGTCGCCATTCTGATTTCACCTGCGATTCCCGTTTATTCCTTGGAGGTCCTTCTTTTCGGTCCTGATGCTGTCTTTTGTCATCTCCTCGTTGGGTGGGGAACGATCGGAAATTTATGTTATCTCCGTGAGGTCTGGCTGCTACAAGTACCGCCTGCAGCTCTAGCGCTTGTCGGAGGGCCTCGTTTACCGTCTTTTCCCCTCCCAGCAGCAGCTGGAAATTTATATCGGCATCTCGTATCCCGTATGCGAAGGCTATACCTGCCTCCCTTCCTATGTGGTAGCAGGTAGATTGGGGTAGACACGACGGGAAAGGAGTTCAATGGCCGTGGTAAAATCTTGCAGGGATTCTCCAGGTCTCTGCATCCTTGCTCTTAATTGGCAGTGGTAAGCAGATGCAAAGTGTTGGTCCCCGAAACGGTCCCCTAGAGCCTGAAGAGTTTCCTCGTAAGTGGTATTTGACGGAATGCCGGGTAGTATTTCCGCCGCCCGACCCTTCAGGGCAGTAATTAAGTGTGTCGATTTTTCCTTATTCGTCCATTGGTTGTGCTCTGCTACGGTCTCGAATTGTCGACGGAACACACTCCACGTTGAATTCCCGTTGAATGTCGGCGGCTGAGCTGTGCTCGCGACGATCGTTGACGTATTTCCCCGCTCGGCCTTCATTTGCACTATGTCCAACCGGGCCTGGAACTCGCGTTTGGTTTCATCAATTGCTGCGCAGGTTTCGTTGTAGTTTTTCGTGAGGTTTTCCTGGATATTATCTGTCCGCCCGTAGAGGGACACTTCAATCTGCTCAGTTATTTCTGACTGGAGAGTCTGTTTGTCGTGTTCAACGATCGCAAAAATTTTTTCAACTCTATGTTGGATTTTATCATCCAACTCTGTTCGCATAGATTGCATTGCGGCTTTCAATTCTTCCTTGTCGGCCTTCCTATCGGCCGCCGCCTTTCCCTGATTGGCGTCTAATTTGGATAGTAAATCTTCTTTGTCTGTCTTCCTATTTTCTTGCATGGCCTTCATCTCTTTCAGCATATCGTCTTTATCAGTTTTCCTATCGGCGTATAATTTTGCCAGCATGATATTTGCTTTTTCTTGATTGGATTCTAATTTCGCTAGGAAAGTGGTCTCCATTCGCTCTAGGTTGGCATCTGCTTTTACTTGGTTTGCTCTGATTTCCTTGAGCAGCATTTCCATCATCTGCTGCATCTCCATGTTCTTCTCGCTTGTATAAGTTCGTAAAATTCTGACACCAAATTGTCACGGGTCTTGAGTTCGAAGCTCGTTGGTCACGTGTGTAAGTTCAAATCCCACTTCTGACACCAGATGTCGCGTGTTGGGCGTATATCGCAACAAATAAAGAGATATTTGATATAGCGAATCTTATTTCACATTCGCACTTACAATCACCCAAATTACAGATTTACGATTACTGCTATCTGCAGTATCACAAATAGTACACTCCAAATGCCAGAATACAACTGACTAGTTGCTGGCTAACTCAGAACTAACTCGGAGGTGCCTCGAGAACTCATTCGGCGGTAGCTCCAGGACTGACTGTGAATAGCCTTCGCTGCTCCTTATGTAGCCTCGGTCCGGACCATTGTCGTCTGGTGCCGTGTTGCTAGCCACGCTGTCCGGAGTTGTTGACTGCTGCCTAGCAACCGCACGATCCCTCGGTGACGTCACCGCTCTTGACTGGCTTAGCATAGCTTCGAGGTTGCGGGGACTCGGCTAAAGTCGGCTCCGCTCGGCTCACTTCGGCTCCGCTCGAGACGTCACAGGGGGAGAGTTGCGGGGTGATTACTCGCCTATTACGCGAGCGCTACGTTAACGCTACGTGCAGCTGGGGAGGTAGGGGTATACATGTCACTATATGTTAAGATATCATCCTCTTAAATGGTTTTCTGAATTAATTATTGACGATTTCTACATTACATTAGGGAAATTTAAGTTAATTTTATTGCTGTTACTTTAAATTTAACTAGTATAAACCAGGTTTTGAAAGGTTTCAACGAATTTAAGAAATTTTGAACAAGAAATATTTGAGATTTCAGTTTAATATAAAGATTTTCAAAAAATTGTCAAAATTCCACATTTTATTTATGGAAATCTATCTAATTGTTTGACGAAATTAAAGGATTAAATAATTTATTCAAATTTTGACTAATTTTATGATAATTTAAGAAATACTAAACTAATTTTGACCTGCTTAAACCAAATTTATATAATTTTAACCAAAAATTCTTTCTCGATTTCAAATTTATTTAAATATATCTATTATTTTGTGAAAGATTTCACATAATCCTTCAATGCCAACCTCGGTGTCCTGCACCGACATGGTTATTTAAACCTGTCGCCCAACTCGGTGCTATGCATGGCCTCGGTAGTAGCGCTGTTTGAGCTCGTCTTTTAAACTGTTATTTTTCACGTAAAAAAATTCTGATTGTATATAATTGAAGAGGAAATTTCAAGCTATCATTTCGTATAGTCGTCGTCCCACTTTGAACTTCGCGCGGTATTTTTATTACAGTTGAATTCTTTGAAGAAGTTTTGTAACTCTCCGAGTACAGCGCTCTATTTCCGTCTATATGTTTCCATCTCTGGGAATACTAACGAAGTAATTGAAATGTTGGTTCATATGAGCAGTCGAGACCTTTCAACGAGACTTTGTTTAGTGCTGCTACTTCATTAGAATTTCGAACCACTAGTAACTGTGGACCACGTGTTCTTTTATGAGGCGCAGTGTTGACATCTGAAAGAAGTTTATTATGACTGGCTGTGTGCTCTACTCTAAACAGTTCGCTATAGGCATTCCCTTTGTTCTATAAATAGAATCAGGCAGTTTGACCTTAGCCATGGCCAGCACAAGTAGGAGCCGATCAGCTGCGTTGCATGACGAAGAATTAGAACTTCTTCTTCACACCAGTTCGGAGGAAGAAATTTCGGCTTCAGAGTCGGAACGTGACACAGATGTCGACTTAGACGATCGCGCGTTGCTTGACAGTGTGATACACGATGTCAGTGACGACGATGAAGTTTCTACGCAAGCTTTCGTTTGGGAGAGTATGGGAAATTATCAAGGACAACGTGAACATTTCACGGGTAGTTTTGGACCGCAAGGTGGCGCACTAAATGTGGTCGAAATTGTGGACGTATTCGAATTATTTTTTGATAAACAGATGGTGAACCAAATTGTTACCGAAACAAACAGATATGCAGAGCAATTCCTACGCGGGCGTGATCTGCCTGTGAGATCGCCGGCTAGGGCATGGAAGCCTGTGACGGAGGGAGAGATTTATGTTCTACTGGGTCTGTTTATGCTAATGGGAATTATTCAGAAACCTACCCTTAGATCATACTTTTCAACAAGACGAATAATGTCCACACCAGGATTTAGAGACATTATTAGTCGGAACAGATTAGAACTAATCTGTAAATTTCTGCATTTCGTTGACAACGAAACCATGAGCACTTATCAAGGCCCACAAAAACTTTTCAAAATTTTCCCGTTAATTTCACATCTGAACAAAAAATTCCAGGAAATCTATCTTCCAAGCCAAAATATTTCAGTTGATGAATCATTAACACTTTGGAAAGGCCGTCTGTCTTTCAAACAATACCTCCCTCTCAAGGCTTCCAAGTTTGGAATAAAAACTTATGAACTCTGTGACTCCGCCACGGGCTATTTATGGTCCTTCCTGGTATATACAGGAAAAGATACAAAACTGGACTCCCCATTGCTCACACCTGAAATGAACAAACCAACATCTATTGTTCTCCAACTCGTAGAACCTCTGCTGAAACAAGGCCGGACTGTCTGGATGGACAATTATTATAATTCACCATTTCTAGCCAGAACGCTGAAAATCACATACAAGACCGACTGTGTTGGGACGCTCAATTTGAACCGCAAGAATGTGCCACCGCAAGTGAAAAACACAAAACTTAAAAAAGGCGAAATCGTGGCACAGCATTGTGGACCTGTCTCCATCACAAAATGGCACGACAAAAAAAACGTGACTATGATCTCCACCTATCATAGTCACGACACCAGGACTGTGACAATCAGAGGCAAAGAAGTGGTGAAGCCTGTTTCAGTGTTGGACTACAATAAATCAATGATAGGTGTTGATTTGAAGGACCAACTCCTCCACTCCTATTTGATTGAGAGGAAAAAAATGAACAAGTGGTACATGAAGCTATTTCGCAGGCTCCTGAACACCTCAGTTCTGAATGCGCTGATAATATATAAGAGTAACACAGGAAAAAATATAGATCAGTTGTCATTCAGAATTGAGTTGGTTGAGGGACTTTTCTTGAAATACGCGAGTGCCGTTGAACATAAAGTGCCGGGTCGACATGCGTCGGACAACAGTGTGCCCCGTTTGACAGANATCTTATAATTACTATATTATTTAATGAATTTTAATAAAATGTTTAGTAATTTTAAATTAATTAATAGAATTTATATAAATTATGACAGAATTCAAAATATTTTAAAATGATTATTTCCGAATATTCTTTGACCATTTCACGTTTATATAAGGAATTACAGACAATATGTGAAAGATTTCTTCTTATTAAATGGAATTCTGTCCAAATTATTGACGATTTCTACATTACATTAGGGAAATTTAAGTCAATTCTGATTGATATTATGATAAACTTAACGGGTATAAAACAGGTTTTGAAAAGGTTCAACAATTTTAAGAAATTTTGACCAAGAATTTTTACAGATTTCAATTTAATATAAAGAATTTCAACATATTGTCAAAGATTCCACTTTTTATTTAAGGAAATCTATTCAATTGTTTGACAATATTTAAGGATTAATTAATTTTAATAAAATTTTAAAGGATTTTATGATAATTTAATGATTACCAAAATTATTTCGACTTTCGTAATCCAAATTCAAATAAATTTAACATACAATTCTTTCTCGATTTCAACTTAATATAATATATCAGTTAGTTTGTGAAAGATTTCACCCTAATTTTGGGAATTCTAGCAGATTTTTGATGATTTACGTAATAATTTCAGAAATTTAAAGAAATTTGATCGATTCGAATTTAATTTAAGTAATTTTAATTGAATTTTGATCGAATTCAACGAAATGTATATAATTTTAACCTAAATTTCTTTCAAATGTTCACGTTAAAATAAAGAATTTTAACAAATTTATATAAGATTTCACCATAATTTAAGGAATTCCTTTAAATTTCTGATAATTACTATAATAATTAGTGAATTTTAATAAAATATTCGGTAATTATAAGTTAAGAAATAGAATTGAAACAAATTATGAACGAACACAAACTATTTTATGAAATTCTTTCCGAATATTCTTTGACGAATTCACGCTAATTTAAGGAATTACGGACAATATGTGAAGATTTCTTCTTATTAAATGGAATTATTTCCAAATTATTGACGATTTCTACATTACATTAGGGAAATTTTAGTCTATTCTGAATGATATTATGTTAAATTTGAAGAATATAAACCAGTTTTTGAAAGGTTTCATCAAATTTAAGAAATTTTGACGAAGAATGTTTACATATTTCAATTTAATATAAAGTATTTCAACAAATTGTCAAAGATTCCAGTTTTTATTTATGGAAGTCTATCCAACTGTTTGACGATAGTAAGTTATTATTGAATTTTAGTCAAATTTTGAAGGCTTTAATGATAATTTAAGGAATTCTAAACTAATTTAAATCTACTTAAACAATATTCATGTAATTTTAACCAATAATTCTTTCTCGATTTCTACTTATTATAAATATATCAATTATTTTGTGAAAGATTTCACACAAATTATGGGAATTCTAGCAGACCTTCTGTCGATTTTCATAATATTTGAGTATATTGAAATAAATTTAGAAAGATTCGAAGTTAATTTAAGGAATTTTAATTGAATTTTGAACGGATTCAACGAATGGACACAACTTTACCTTAAATTCTTTGAAATGTTCATCTTAAAATAAAGAATTTCAACCACTTTATAAAAGATTTCACTATAATTTAAGGAATTCCTTCAAATTTCTGATAATTACAATATTCGTTATTGAATTTAAAATAAAATATTCAGTCATTCTAAGTCAATTAAAAGAATTTCAACAGATTATGAACGAACTCAAATAATTTCATGAAATTTTTACTAATAATCTTTGACTATTTCACTTTAATATAAGGAAATTCAGACAATATGTTAAAGATATCATCTCTTTAAATGGTTTTCTAATCAAATTTCTGAAGAATTCTTCATTACATTAGAGAAATTGAAGTCAATTTTGATTGCTGATAATTTATATTTTGCGAATATAAAGCAGGTTTTGAAAGATTTCAACGTAATTTAAGAAATTTTGAACAAGAATTATTACAGATTTCAATATAATATAAAAATTTCCAAAAAATTGTAAAAGATTCCACTTTTTATTTATTGAAACCTATCCAATTGCTTGAAGATATTCAATTATTATTTAATTTTTATCAAATTATAAAGGATTTTATGATAATTTAAGGAATACCGTCTTAAACTAAAAATTCATATAATTTTAACCAATAATTCTTTCTCGATTTTTACTTTATTTAAATATATCAATTATTTTGTGAAAGATTTCACACTAATTTTGGGAATTCTAGCTTACTCTTTGATGATTTACATAATATTTCCGGAAATTTAAAGAAATTTAAAACGATTCGAAGTTAATTTAAGGAATTTTAATTCAATTTTGAACGAATTCAACGAAATGTATATAATTTTACTCTAAAATTCTTTAAATTTTTACGTCAAAATAAAGAATTTCATCCAAATTATAAAAGATTTCACTGTAATTTAAGCAATTCCTTCACATTTCTAATAATTTCTATATTATTTAATGAATTTTAAAAAGTTTTCAGTAATTCTAAGTTAATTAATAGAATTTAAAATAATTTTGAACGAAATCACATTATTTTATGAAATTTTTTCCGAATATTCTTTGACGAATTCAGTTTAATATTAGTAATTTCAGACAGTGTGTGAACGATTTCTTCTTATTAAATGGAATTCTGTCGAAATTTTTGATGATTACTACATTACATTAGGGAAATCTAATCAATTCTGATTAATGTTATGTTCAATTTAACGAATATAAACCCGGTTTTGAAAGATTTCAACGTAGTGTATGAAATTTTGACGAAGAATTGTTGGAGAATTCAAGTTAATATAAAGAATTTCAGCAAATTATCAAAGATTACACTTAAATTTATGGAAATATATTCAATTTTTTGACGATATTTAATTATTAATTAATTTTAATCATAATTTGAGATATTTCATGATAATTTATATAATTTTAAACACAAATTATTTTATGAATTTTTTTCGGAATAATCTTTGACGATTTCACGTTAATGTTAGTAATTTCAGACAATATGTTAAAGATTTCTCTTATTAAATGGAATTTTGTGAAAATAATTGTCGATTTCTACATTACATTAGGGAAATTTAACTCAATTCTGATTGATTTTAAGTTAAATTTAACGAATATAAATATTGTTTTGCATGATTTCGACGTATTTCCCGAAATTCTGACCAAGAATTATTCCAGAATTCAAGTTAATATAAAGAATTTCAACAAATTGTCCAAGATTCCACTTAAATTTATGGAAATCTATAATACTTTTTGAAGATATATAATCATTAATTAATTTTAATCATATTTTGAGAGAATTTATGATAATTTAAGGACTTCTAAACTAATTTTGACCTTCTTCAACCTAATACATATAATTTTAACCAAAAATTCTTTCTATATTTCAAATTAGTATAAATAATATAAATTAGTTTTGTGAATGATTTCACACTAATTTTGGGAATTCTAGCAGACGTTTTGCCGATTTACAAAATAATTAAAGAAATTTAAAAATATTTTAACGATTCGAATTTAATATAAGGAATTTTAATTGAATTTTGCCGGATTCAGCGAATGGATGTAATTTTAACCTTAAGTTCTTGGAAATTCTCACCATTAAAAAAGGATTTCAATGCAATTCAATTCAAATCTTTATTATTAATGCCCCGAGTCAACAGCAGCAAGGACAATTACAGACACAGCACAGTGCAGATGAATGAATTACAACCACTTTATAAAAGATTTCACTCTAATTTAAGGAATTCCTTCAAATTTCTGGTTATTAAAATATTAGTTAATGAATCTGAAATAAAATGTTCAGTCACTCTAAGTTATATAAGATTTGAGGCTTTCACGGCGGTGACTATGAAGAAAGCAGTCTTCTGGGATTTTGAACCTTGTATATGTGGTGTAAACCGACAATTCGGAGGAACGTATCGCCTCCATCTTCAGGGTAGGAAAAAATATATAAGAAATCTGCAAGCTAAGACACCGTGAGAACCGGTAAAAATGTCTACTTTTACCGGTTCTCACGGTCTCTTTGCTTGCAAATTTCTTATATATTTTTTCTTC